ATTGCGTGGCATCACGTGGAAAGGGCGTATGGGTCACTTGACCCTAAAAACCAGCTGCCGTGATCGCAGTTCACCAGGACTATGACTAATAGCCATCAGACAACGCTAAATCCTTTTCGGACGTCATGTGACCTAAGTAGGACCTCAACACCTGGATCCTGAAGTCCTACTTATCTCACCTTTTAATACCATAGTATGGTATAACTAATTCGAAACTAACTCTACGCTAGAAAGCGTATCAGGATTATCTTACGTTTGCGCCTTCGGGCACATGGTCTCTCCCGGAATACGATCAGGTATAACACTACTATTTTAGCATACTAACTAGCTTGAAACTAATTGTATACTGTATAGGACGACGATGGAGATATCATCCTACACAGTCTAGAGGTATTCTGTCAAGTACCTAACTGCCCTACCGGACAGATATAATATCTCTGTCCATCCAAAAGGGGTTGAGTGTGGTCTGGTAGCTATTAGTTCATAGGCATGGTGACCTGCGTCCTGATGGTTCGAACTTCCTCCGAAAGATATACGCCTCAAGCCATGGGATACGTAAATATGCCGCCTTGCGAAGACCTGGATTGGACTGGGACAAGGGGTGAAGAAGACAAAGAAGACAATTGCCGGGGTATCAAATCTGGCCGAATATCCTACTTGTCACTCCCTTTAGTGGCTCGAATCCCTTGGCCCATCACCTTTGATCGTACTAGGTCACTGGGCAAAGGAACCAGATGCGTGCTGGGTCTTTACATCTACAGTGAACTTAACAGTTGTACTTGAAGTAGGGCTTTCTGAATCTGCACTGCGGCCAGCCATCGATACCAGAGAATAGCTGGAAACCCCAGGAAGCACCGTTCAAGAATGCATTACGATCGATGAATTTCTAGATACTACTCCTATAGACTGGATTTGTCTAGATTTCGGGATGTTTCTTGGAGCCCACAGTCGCCAAGTATGAGGTAGATATTACGATTTATAGGGACTTTCTAATATATGTTGATCAAACATAACCGCTAGGCCATGAAAATGTTAATATACTAGTGGTGTGGAGACAGTAGCAAGTAATAATAGACCTTTTTAGGCGTAACACCCAACTATACATTAGATCGTGACATGCCTTATGTACAATCATAAAACAACTCAAAAGTCTGGTCATTGAATAAAGGACAGAACAGAGTGGTATCGCGGGTCCAACTCGAGGCAGACAATCAGACCTTAGCATAGACAAAGAGCAAGGAACACAAATCCAAACATTAGTCCCTCCAAGGTAGAAGAAAACGAAAAGCGCCGTGCTGATGCAAGTCATAGACACATACATAGATCAGAGGATGTTCTCCATGATGGTAAAGCCTGTTCCCTATTTTGAATCTGTCGTTTCGTGATAATAATAAGCCTAAGCAACTTCTTTTGGTCATCAGGTCGTGTGCCAACAAAGGAAATAACGAAGCGAATGACTGTCCAAGCCACAGATCAAAAGAGCAGACTAGCTGACTGAATCCTTCCCCAGGGTCGGACACGAGGAATAAAAGGCAAATATAGACAGGGAATGGGGAAGATTATGATATACAAAAAGAACCAAGTCTATTTAAGGTGAAACCCAAAAGAAAACCAAGTCTCAGGTCAAGCGGTGAAGAGTCGTGCAGTTCTTCCGAGCACTTCACGCACAGAATGGAGGATGGAAGGCTCATTCAACTGACGCGGCGGTAATGATCGCCGGTATAACTTCGTTGCGGTGATCCCAACGGTGTCATTGTTGCCCGGCGTAGGGTTGGGGTCACTGTCGTCGTTGGGTACCACCCTGACGCTGGAACTGACCGAGGCTGAGTGGAAGCGTGAACTCAATGGCAGCTGGTACTTCACCACGCCGCGGACGATCAGATCGAAGGGATGTTGCAGCACACGCTCCCACCGTTCCGTGCCACCCTCCTCGGTCTTATTTCCCGGTCGAGCCAGCCGGATTTGACCTTTCGAAGTGGCTGCCTGCTGGTTCCACGGCGATGGATCGAAGGTCAGCGGAGAGTCGAAATGGAACACTCGGCCTAGAAGCATCGTCTGCGGATCGCCCGTCGGATCGGGGTCCATGGGATCGGTGCCGCGGTCGACCCCGTCACTGATGTGCACCGACCGCGTTGACATCTCCGCCAGACATTCCGAGTCACCATTACAGCGGACAATGCGAGCGAGCTCGGCACGTTTTCGACTATCCTCCACCCGAGGGAAGTCGCTCGAGTCAGAACCGTGGTCTCGCCAGAACTTATCCGTGCCCACATAGCGGCTTTTGGCGAAGATGTTCATGTCCATATCGTCGATCGCCACAGGAAACAAATTCGGGTTGACTGCCTGTACGCTCAAGTCCAACATGATCTCCTGCTCGGACGAGAGTACGTTTTGAATCTCGAGAATCTGCACGTCCACGAGGCTCTTGGTGATGGCCACAATAAACGAGGTGGCCCCTCCCACAACCAACAGCAGCAGTATAATGATCATCACGCAGGCACCATACCTGGAGAAGTACCCTTGTTGTCGCTGTTGCATATACTCCATCTGACGGAGACTTGCACTGTTCGGACGGCGGTTGCCGTGCCGACTCCGTGTTATGCGCGGTGACCCGACTAGCGGGGTACGCTCATCATCAGCGCCCTCGGCATCAAAATCGTAACCGTACATATCGCCCGCCTTTTTGACACCGTTGATCGTGCGGTAGTTGGGAGCAGTGCGGGACCCCGGGTGCCGCGACTGGCGAAACCCGCTGCCGATGAAATGCCGCGGCGACTTGTGTGGCTGGGACTGGGGAAACGGAGAGTCCCCGTCAAACAAAGACGGATACATGTTATTGTTCCGCCCATACCGTCCAATATGGTAGTGGCGGGGAGTATGAGAACCGTTGCCGTCAACACGGGGGTGACTGCGGGTACTATCTTCGCCGGCATCGCCATCCACGCTGCTCGTGTACGTATTATTCGTAAACTTCATGCTGCGTTTCCCAGTAACGCTTTGGTTTCCATCCCGAAGTCCACGTGCACGGCCGGCCAACTGGTCGACCTGACTCGCCATGGAGGTCGCACTAGGTGTGCGGGAATGGTAGCGATTCTGCCGAACTGGATACGGATCCGGCGGGTTCGACTCGTAAACAAACGTCTCATCGGAATCGGAGACGTCCGCCTCATCGACAGCGCTTGCGACTTTAGCTTCAAAGATATCTGCTTTTGACGATGCGGCACCGCTCGACAGAGCAGCCGGTTTACGTGTCCGCCGCTTCTCTTTCTTTGGGCGGATCGTCTCAGTACTGGGTTTCATCCGCAAGGTTCCTGAGTCGACGCGGCCCGAGTTGCTTCGATCGCCGGTTGCTACCCCTAAAGAGACCTGAGGGATAGAACTGACTGTTTCGGTTTCCACGATCATGTTTCGAACGGACCCATCGCCGGGTTTCCCACGACCTCCACTTAACGATGTCGATGACCGCTTTGGGATCAGCGAATCTGAGCCTTGACGTGACGCTGAGTAGCGTCGACGATTTTCTTCCATCTGTTCGGCCGCGCTTTTATTCCCTCCACTATCACTTCCACTGTCCACCGTCTGCTTTGGCGTCTTAACACCGGGATCTTCGTCGATCTTGTGCAGGCGAGGTTCTTCGGGAAAGGGCTGGTAAAGGACAGTATCGGTTGACGGCGTAGACTGGTCGCTGGCCATCTCTTGGACGGTCTCCAGAGCGGAAACGGGTCCATTGGGTCGGTTTACGGCACGGGGCGCCGTCCGATCCGTCTTGGAGGCGGGTTCGTCGGGGAGCGGTGTGGCTCGTTTGCTGGATATATTCGCGAGGTTTGGCTCCGGTTCCGGCCGTCGAGACGTAGGCCATAGCGGCATGTTGGGCTTTTCTGGGCTGGGGACATCGGTGGACGGTTCGGCATTGGAGGGAGGAAGATTGATCAAGGGAGGTTTGTTGGATTGGGGCGGTGGCCGCGATGCAACAGTCGTTTGGGGTTGAGTGCCCGAACCCGAATTGTGAGTGTTCGTGGTCCGATTCGGACTGCGATCAGAACTGAGTTTGCGAGGCCGGGACGACAAGCGGGACTGGGACGTGGAGTTGCGCAAACGCTGCGAGGAGCGGACGGGAGACGATTCACGGGAGGATATAGTCGAGTTCGTTGTCGACGTGGGCACGGAGCCAGGAACTCTAGGAGCCAGCTTGGGCATCTGGGAGGTGATGGCTGCGTGCGTCTGCGGATTAATGGTCGAACGTGGCACTTCGGTCATGTCACCTTCGCTGGGTGATCGCCGGGATGCAGGTAAGGCCGCATCATCTTGGGCTCCTCTAGATCCACCAGAGGTTCCATTGGTGTAAGGCGACCCCCCGGATTCCGCAGTCATGGTCGTTGCCGAGTCAGCGTGGCCTGACAAAACCGTGGGAAGTTGGGATATCCGAGAGGGAACCGGAAGGGCGGAACGGAGAGGTCGGACGACAACGAATTAGGAATACAGCACCACGGAAAGAAAAGGGCTCCCCGTTGTAAGCGTGGCGACGACAAGGGGTATGTAGAGTACCAAGTCAGGAAAAAAATAGCCAAGGCAAAAAAAAAGTATAAAGGCGTATGTAGTAGGTCAGGAGATCTCAGTCTCGAAAAGGGTTAGGAAAGGGGCGGACAAAGGTGGAGGACCAGCCAGAACTGCTGTCGTACGACGGCCAAAAAAAAAACACACGTTACACAGGTCTGGCAGTCGGAAGACGAATGGACGACGGCCACATGCTGATGAACGTGAAAAAAGCGCGGAAGATCAGATTCGGTGAAGGACGACGACGTCGTCGGACGGGACAACAGCCCCAAAAGCAACGGGCAGGAAGGGTGAATTGTCCGCTAGAGGTTCAAGAGGCAATCGAATAATAACACCGGGCGACGGGAGTCACAGAGACGAATGGCGCAGGACACCCATAACTTGATCAGAAGACGGTGAGATGGAACGTCTAGAACCCCAGTGTGGTCGAGCGTGTTTGGCGGAAAGGCTGCCGATCCAAGCGTGCGGGAGGAGGGGAGTCTCGGGGACCGACCGTTTCGTGGAGGGAGGGAGTGTGCTATTGATTCGCAGCTTCCGTAGGCAACTCAACTGTCAGACGCAAGGAAAACCAGGGAAAATCCAATCGTCGGGTTTGCAGGAAGGCCAGAAGGCCAGGCTGACGGTCCAATTGTCGAGGTCCAATAGTAGCCGCCCACGTCAAGCAGCGTGAGGTCGAGTGGGGGACGCGCTCTAGGCTGTTGCCGGGGTGAGAGTGCTTCTGAATCAGGGGGGAGTTGGAGAGTGGAGCGAGGAGTGTCGGCGAAGTGGAGGAATGAAGATTCAAAGAGAGAGATAGAAAGAGGATAGAAGTGAAAGAGACGACGTTGTTCTTTGTTGTTGGAAGAGGATGATGAAAGGAGAGAAAGCGAAGAAGTCGGACCGCGGGTACCTCCGATACGTCATTACGCGTAATAATACGGGAGTCTCGCCGCGGACGTCAATACCCGCCCGTCATCGCATTACAAGCCATGAAGGTCATGATGAGGTCATCCTATCCGCCTTGTGTGCCATGCATGGAATTTTCCATGCATCGCGATGGTTATGGCCATCCTCGTGCCATCTCTAGTGACTATTGCCTCCCAGATATGTCAGGATGCAGATTCATTGACGTTGCGAAGTCTATATTTGCCCAATACAGGAATGTCCCGGTAAAATCCAGATGGCCATCCAACACCAGATATATACAGATCACCACCAATCTATGAAACAGAACAGCCGTACTGTACTAGTCCCGCCAGACTGATCTTATACAATTTTATATACCCTCTTCGCAATCACAAACGAGGCAAAAGCAAACAGTACCAGGCCTCCCGTAACTAAACCGTATGTCAGCATGACCCAAGATAGTCCAGTCCAGGGTGAGAAGGACATACTCGACCAAAACCAGTGTAGGTTATCCACGTCCTGGCCAGGAACCTTCACGTTCATCCCCCACATTCCGCAAATGATATTCAGCGGTACCACAATCGTTCCCAGCACCGTCAGCTTGCCCAAGACATCCGCCGTCTGCTCCTGCCGCTCGTTCATCAGGATATTGATCTGCGCCAGATAGTTGCTGTGTGCGCGCGACAACAGTCTAGAAATATTGTAGTCAGCAAGAGAACTTGCGCGCAGCAGTCAATCTCAAAAATATAGGAATCATACGTCTCGTAGTAGGTCAGACTGCTGGTCATCGTCATGATATGGTCCTGGATATCACCCAGATACAGACCAATCTCGGATTTGGGTGCCACTTCCCACTGCTCATTGCACCGCTTGGCAAACCCCTTCACAACGTCTGCCTTGTTGCTCAGCAGTCGGTACATGCCCATGACCTTCTTGCGGCACACGCCGACCCGGCGCAGCATTTCTCCCGGGGCGAGTGAAGCCTGGGCGTCGTCGCCACTCTCCTCCTTGCCGTCGCTCTCGGGAGAGTGCAGCCGCATGATCATTTCGTCGATCTCGTCGACTTCATCCTCGATCGACTGGATCAGTGGCCCGAACACGTCCGTGATGTCGTCAATCAGCGCATACGAAATCCAATCGGCGCTCAGGATCAGATAATCCATCAGCTGCCGGATCCGACGCCGGACATTGGCAGGATGCGGCGTCTGCGAGAAATGGAAGGACAGAACCCCGTCACGAAACACAACCACGTACATGTTGACTGGTTGCAGATAATTCTCGCTATTCGGGTCCTGCTCGAAGGTACGATAGTTGACGAAGTAGTAGTTGCGGAAGAGCTCCACTTTCTCTCGAGCCTCCTGCATCATGATATCCTCAGCCGTGAGTGCGTGAATGCCGAACGCCTTAGCGATAACCCGCATCTCGGCGTCGGTCGGGCTCAGAACGTCCAACCAGAAAGTCGGGCGGGGTCCGTACCGCTTGGTCTTCTGGGGAGGAGCCGGGGGATGAGGGGAGGCGTCGACGGAGGTGCGCGCTTCGGAAACGGCTTCGCTGATGATCGACATGCGTGGTTGTTGTCGATCATGCCATGGGCCTTTGTTGCCTGCATCCGTTGCCGCATGATTGCCATTGGACTTGATCTCCGCTGTGCTGTCCGCAAGTCGCTCATCCGACTCCTCCTCGTCCTCTTCATCCGAAGACACTTCTAGCTCGGGAGGATCGGGAATGAAGAGCTCGCGGAAGCTGCCCCCAGGCTGCACCAGCTCGGAGATAGTCTGCGAGTGGATCGTACTCTGGAACTCTTCATTGAAATAGGTGAAGCGGTAGGGCACCTCATCCTCCTCGCGACGCCAGAGTCGGTACTGTGGACGTAGCCGGCCCTCGATAAGCACCGGCTCACTGATTTTCTTAGCTCGCAAATCGCCCGTTCGATCCTCTTTCTCCTCACGGCTCCATTCCTCCAAGACTGACAGATCTGGCCACTCGCGGCGCCGACGTCTACGACGTTCTCCCGCGCGTGCGGCTCTCGCCTCCTCCTCAGCCAGCACGGACGCTTCCTCTGTAGGGAAGCACACATCTTCCTCCGCCGGCACTGTCCGGCGTCGACGAAGCTCACGGGGAGACCGAGGCGATCCCGGGGAGGAGGGGGCAGACTTGCCGAAGCGTTTGGGACCTCCCTCTACATCAATGACCATGTCATTGGAGCGGGGCATAGATTCCAGCCGATTCTCGACCGACTTGGCGAGATTGAAGTCAAAGTCCGCTCCCGTCACGACGGCATCGTCATACCCCATGTCCGCGCCGAGCTTGGGGGTTCCAGGTATCGAGGGAGGATTGTTGATATCATAATCGCGTTCCGGCTCCGGTACGGCCGGACTCGAGACCGCACGAGGTGAACGGTGAGAGGAGCTGGACCGCCCCGAAGAGCGTCGCCGGCGGAACGAAAAAGCGCTCGACTTGGAATCGGTCCCGTACCGGGCGAGAGGCGGCTTGTGGCTCGAGGTAGGCCGCACCAGTGGTGTACGATCATTCACTTCCTCCAAAATATCACTATCATCTTCCTCATGTAGCGTCCTCGTAGCCGAGGGAGGGTTGCGCGAGCCCATATATGTTGGGGTCGACAATGACCCGGGCCGAAAAGACTGGGATAGACGACTCTCGCGACGGGGTATCATGGGTTGGTGCCTATGTAATGAGTCAGTCGCGAGAGGGCTGGGGGTTAGCGGTGTAGGAGACGGCGACGACGTACCTATGATCCAACAGAGCCTCGCTTTCCAGACTAGTGCTGCTAAGGTCCCTCCCCAGCTTGTAGAATGGCAGCGCAGATTGAGACTTGGTCTGACTGGCGGCCATCATATCCCCCGGCTCAGCAATCGATGGACGGCGAGGGGCCCCCGACTCGGGGTCCTCTGCACTCAGAAAAGAGGGCCGACGATTATGCCGTTTCCGCTGGCGTTTCTTCTTGCGCTTCGTTGACTTTTTCGGCGTCTGGTTGTTACTGTCTCCGCGAGTACTCTGCATGTCCGAGACTGCGGCCCTGGCCAGCGGAGGAGGGTCGGCGGGCCGACCTTCCTGCGGAGAAGCCCGGCTAGGGTTGGTCGGTTTTTGATGTAAAGTTGACGGAGAGCCAGGCATAGCGACCGATATGTATTCCAGCCCAGATAGTTGATAATCAGGGTGGTTGGCGACGGTGGGTGAACAGCTTGCTTATCAGGTCGATCCGTCCGACCGGATTTCCCAGAGATAATCTACCTCCACAAGCACGCGAGATCCAATAAATCCTTCCCAGAAGATCTTACTCCAGTCACGACAGTCTCAGCGGGCCCCAATTCAGCATTGTCATCGGCAATTCATGGAGACGCCAGACGGGGGAGAGCGATTGAACCGCCGAATGACGCGTGTGGCGAGATGCAGGGGAAGCTCATAAGGCAGGAACGGAAGGTCGCACAAAGGTCCGAGTCCATCGAAGAGTCGATCAATTAGGGACAACGATTGGAGGGAGGCGAGACAATCCGCGACAGGTCAACAGGATTGGACGTACGGAGTAGAGGGAATCAAAGGGAGAGAAAGTCGGATGAGAAGTTGGCAGTGACTGAACGGATCGTGGGGAGGGGAATAGCCGGGCGATGAGGTCAGCACTCCACCGACACACGATCTCTTTCTAGAACTAATTATTTCAATGCAAATATCTATACAGCTTTCTTATAACTGTGCTTCAATTTCCCTTGTCTATTTTCCCCCGATGTTCGCTTCTTCTCTACTCTATCTAGGGCCGGATCTGTCTCGCAATTGCATCATTCTGACACTACCATCCTTAGCGCATACCAGTGCAGCGATCGACAGCCAACGTGGAATCTCAAAGTCAGGCAAAAGCTAAGTGGAACTAGATTCTCATCATATAATCCTATCGATACATTCAATTCATACATTCAATTCCCTCACAGGGGCCTATTTTCAAAAAGAAACACATCATAGCTCATGTACATGCAAAAATGCCCATACGGGGTAAGTAAACACAATAAAAAGGGCCGTAACATCATCAGCTCTAAGATGTTGGCATAATCATGATCATCATCAAGAAATTAAGAGAATAAAAGCGTCAGAAAGAAAAAAACAAAAGCCACCCAGGATATCCCGAACACCGCCCATCCTTTGCCTCCAGTACGCCCTCAAAGCATACCAACCAAGTCATAAGCCTCATGATCGAGTGTGACGCCTCAAACCACATTGCTCATGTCCATGGTAGATGATGGAGCAATACTGTGGACCGACTTTGTTGCATCCAGCGACATGCGATCGCTGCTCAGTATCCGGCTCATTTTCTTGTCTTTGCCGGGACGGGCGATCAACACCTGCGCCGGACAGACCACGACTTCATCGTCGCCTTCGCCGGAATCGTTGCCCTTCTTCACCACCAGAGGGAACAAGACGACGCGCACCACTGCTTGTTGGGATTCCAGTTCCTCGTTCGAGGTGGTCTCCCCACTGCGCTCATTCATCAGAGACGCGTTGAAGTAGACCTGCCGGGAAAGGTCTCCGTTGGTGTCGTACTCGGGTTGTAGGGGCGGCAGCATGATGTATTCGGCGAGCTGCGTGCGCATCTCGATTGAAAGATTGACGGCAACCCGGAGTACCTTGCGCAGAGACTCCAACAGTTGTGCTTCCACGTGACTCGGCGGCGGCAGGATGCGCGACAGCGTGTCGAAGATTTCCAACGCGACCGCTTCCGTGTCGCTCTCCCGTTGGCGGGCAAAGGCCGGCCGCTTGGCCAGGAGGGTCAGAGTGGTGGCCCGCCAGCGATGGATGGCCGCCCGGGGGCCCACCTCTGCTAACTGCTTCTCCAGAGATTTGAGCTTTTGTCGCTGTTCCCGGTCCATGCCAAACAGGTACCGAGTGAAGATGAACTCCCACACCATAGTCATGACCACGGACATGAATACATCGCGTCGCCGTACGCGGTCGGCGAGATAGATGTCGGCGTCAGAACCGTCCAGGATGGCATTGTCAAAGCGATCGGCGATCTTTTCGTCCTGTAGGTCGATGAGCTTGCGACAGCGATGATGGTCCGAGTGTTTGGAGAAGCGCAACACCCATTGTTGGACGTGACCGCAGAGCTTCTGACAGGCCGCATCGAAGTAGTCCTCGTCTCGGAAGACAATGACATTGTCATGCATGGACGCGGCGATCTGCTGCTGGAGCTCCTTGACCTTGTCGCGCGCACCCTCCAGCTCCTCTCGCAGGCGACGCAGCTCAGTGTTTTTCTGGGTCAAGGCAGCGTCGATCTGCTGTCGGATCTTCTCGTGGAGATCGGTCGACAATTGTTGGTTTTCATACCGCAAGACTTCCAGCTCGCGGGAGGACGATTCACGCACGGACTGAAGCTCGGCGACATGAGCGGCAGTGAGGTTGGCATTGGTGGTGGACAGTCCCTCATTCTCTTGGTTCAACCGGGATACTTCTTTCTGCAGCCACTCCACCGAGTTCTTCAGCTGTTCCAGCTCGGCCTCCCGGTCGCGCAAGTCGGCATCACGATTGTTGAGGGCATGGTCACTTTTCCGGCGGGCGACGCTGGCGCTGCGGAGCTTATCCTCGGCCGCATCACGGGCGGCGATGAGCAGACGATTTTCGGAGATGAGTTGGTCGAGGCGGGATTCCAGTTCTTGAAGGTGTTGCATACTTCGGCGATGGCGGATACTGGGCGGTCGACTGGGCGACCGCGGCGAGCTGGGAGTTTCGCCCCAACCCTCCTAGGGCGGTTAGTACACAACCAAGTTATATAATTGTTTATGACAGAGAGATTCAATAAGAACTTACGTAGACATCGGTCATGCTGCGTAGGGGCCGTTTGCCCTTGTCGGTGAGGGGGTCATAGGAGGAGGAAGAGGGAATGTGCTCGACGCTCAGGTCGGTCGGTTGAGGGGGCGACGCGGGTGGCTGGGGCGAACCACCAGCCGCCAGAGTGGCTGCCGCCCGCAGATCGCCGCTGGTGCTGCGGTTCGTGCGTCGCAGCGATCGTGCTCCTCCTCCGCCGCCGCTGCTCGCGATGCTACCCACACTGCTGGGTCGTAGGATCGGCATGCCCTGATCGGGGGTTTTCAGCACCTCGGCGGATCCAAAGAGCCCCCGCTGGAGTCCCCGTTTCTTCACCTCCAGTTCTCCGCTTCCATCATCGGCTGTGTCGGGCGTGGGCCATCGCTGACGATCCAGTGCATTGTCGGTGAATTTGCGGACGGGCGTTTGAGGTCGAGGAAGGACATGTTCGGGTCTCATCTCTAGACGGGGCGTCCCGTGTGCTTCGCCCATGGTTCGGGTGCCGCTGGTTTTCTCCACCCGTCCATCCGCTTCATCCTCCGTAATGGTATGCAATGGGGTTCGAGGAGGAGAAGCCTCCATCGCTGATGGCCCAAGCGACGGCGGCGGTGGCGGCGTTTTGGCCGGTGGAAGCGACGTCTCTTCTTCCAGTGACCAGGACCGCGGGGGATGGTTGTGTCGCCCATGAATAGAAGGGCTGCGGCGCAGTTCGCAGGAATCCGGGCTCGCCTGTCGGACTTCCTGAACTGGCGCGGTGGAAACCAGAGTAGACGTCTGATCGTGAATCGGTGTAGGTGCATACAAGGGAGTAACACCCGGTGCCTCGGCATCAATTGAGCGGGAGACCTCTTGACTGCCGGGTGTTGCGGACTCCTCTAGTCGTTGTGGTGTAGGTTCCCGAGTCTGAGTAGAGACTTGCTCTGGTGATGGATCGGGGATATACCCACTGTCGTTGTTGTCAGTTGGTGTCGAAATGGGCGCCTCCGAGACGGGAATTGCACTATCGCGCTTGACTTCGTGCTCAACGGTCTCATCCTCAGCCCCATCATTTCCCTGACGCAATGACTCGGTCGACGTGGGACGTTTGAACAGCCCTCGTTCCAGGTGTGGAAAAATGCTCGCTACTTTGCTTTGCTTGTGTGGTAGCACATCAACTTGGTCCATCCGGCGCTTCTCGGGGACAGACGCTGTCACGTCGTGTAGGAACTGTTCCACAACGGGCTCAGTCACGGGCTTCTCCGTAGTCTCAGGGATCTCTCTGGCTTCCACGGGTGCCTCTTTAGTCATGTCAGGAACGCTCGTTTCCAGCACTGGCCCCTTCTCGTCTTGAGCAATATCATCGCCTCTTGCAGTGTCCACAGATGATTCATCAGCGTGGCGACTCACACCTTCAGGTATAGCAGACTCGTCGTACTCGGTAATCGCAGGCTCAAAGGGCGTCACATGATGGGCCTCAGGCGACGACTGAGGTGTCTTTTCCACAGTATCAACCTGGCCCTTTTCCCAATCTATCGTAGGCCAGCCCTCTTCGTCTTGAGTGGTGGGCTCTGCAGGGGGCTCAATCGTTTGGCTCTCATCTGCGCTCTTCCCCTTCCCCTTCTTCTTCTTCTCCTTTTTAGACAGCTTTCGGGAAAGTAGAGGGTCCTCAGCCAAACTCTCCTCAGCTGGCAGAGTCTCAGCCTCCTGAGGCTGCTGTTCTTCAACTAGCTCCGTCTTTGTCTCCGGCTCCGGCTCCGGCTCTTGGGCGGGCTCTTGGGCGGGCTCTTGGGCTGGCTCTTCAGCTTCCAGCTTGGCCTGCTGCTTGGCCTTCCTCTTCTCCTTTTTGGATAGCTTCCTGGTCACCGGAACTTCCACCTCCGGTCGGGTGGAAGGACCTTCAATAAGGTCCCCGGCCATTTCGAGGTCATCTTCTTTTTCGAGAGCCTGAGCTCCCAGCTTAGCTTGAGACTCCTCGCTCTTCGGCCCTTCCTGCTGGAGATTCTCCTGGTTGTCCGTAGCCTGAACGACCTGCTCTGCAGGCTCTGTAGTTAAGCCTCTATCCTTGTCTTCTTCAGATGGAACCTCGAATGGATCCAAAGATACAGCTGGCTCCTTCTCTTCGACAGGCTGTTCTGAACTCTCCGCAGGCCCTTCTTCAACTAGTCCTTTCGGCGCCTCAAGGACATCAGCAGAATCTTTCAACTGCGTAGATCCTGTTTCGGCAGGGAGTTCTTTCTCGGCAGGACTGACAATAACAGGCTCGGAGACCTCCTGTTCTTTAGCCTGTTTCTTAGCCTTCTTCTTTTTCTTCTTGGATTCTTTGCGGCTGAGAGTCGGCTCCTCCACTCGCTCAGAACTCTCCTCAGGCTGGGTTTCAGAAGGCTCTGCTATTGTAGCATCCAAATCCTCCTTTGCCGGCGCCTTCTCTTCGGTAAGAGGCTCTGAAACCGACTCTGGTTCAAGCTCAGGTTCTCTTTCACCAACGTCATTGCTCACGCCCGCCAACTCTCCATCATTCGTTTGCTCCACCTCGACAGCTTGCTCAGGCAATTTCACAGGCTCTGCTTCAACTTCTGTAGCCTCCATTTCCTTTGCAGGCTCCTCGCTCTCAACAAGCTCCTTGGGCTCTTCTGCAAGAGCTTCATCCGCCACGACAGGCGCAGATTCTTCCAACTTTTCTTCGAATGGTGGAACAGTGCGCTCGGCCTCCTGTTCGCTGCCCCCGACGATAGCTCCAGATGTCTCGCCAGAAGCAGGGGGCGCTGTTTCTTCAGTCCCAGAAGCCTTCTCTTCAGGCACCTCAAGTTGATCGGGAACAGGCTCAGAAGCTTCAACATTAGCTGTGGGCTCACTGATCTCTTTGGCGGTTTCACCAGATTGTTCTTCTTCGGCGGAAGCCAGAGCTCTCTGCGCTTGACGCTGCTTCTTCTTTTCCTTCTTGCTCTTCTTCTTCGACAATGTGACTGGCTCCGGCACTGCAGCCTCTGAACTCATCGCCTGCTCTTTCTCCGGCTGATCCTCAATTGTCTCGGCCGCCTGAGCCACTGCTTCCTCGGTGACCTGCGGAGCCTCAGCAACAGACTCAGTCGTATCTCCACCAGACGGTACATCCTCGGTTCTCTCCTCTCTCTCAACATGCTCATCCGTCTGCTCTGGAGGTGCATCAGCTCCTTCGTCTTCACGCACCACTGCCTCTTCTCCACCCTCCATCACGCCCCTGGCTTCACCCTGGTTTGGTTCTTCGGCACCTTCAGCGGGGAGGTCACGACCTTCCGCCTCGCCAGCTACTCCCGACTCCTCGACATTCTCATCAACGGCCTTGATCTCATCACCGGGAGTAGCAACCTCACCCTCAACATCACGCACGGGTGGGAGAGGAGACTCGGATGAAGTCGCTTCCGGCAGTGATTGATGCTGCTGTTGCTCTACCTGCGAAGACACCATCTCATCAGTCCAAATCATATCTTTATCGGTATCGGCGTGCATTTCGGTGCCGTGGGACTGATTGTCTTTACCGTGATCTTCAGCAGGGGCGATTGCCGTCTCAAGCGAGGACTGTTCGTCGGCGGGCTTGGCTTCTTCGACGGGGGCGTCGCGCGCCGTATCGTCGGCGGCGGGTGTTTCGTCTTGAGGCTTATCGTCTGACGGGGTCGGAGCAGCGGCTTCGGTGGTCTCGACATCCAGATTCTTGGACTGGCGTTTCTTCTCCTTCTTTTTGGCTTTTCTCCTCTCCTTGGCGGACATGTTGGCCATCACATCGTCCTTCGCCGTTTCGTTTTGCATCTCCTCTTCTGGGACGCTCGGCTGGGGCTCCTCTCGTGCAGCAGACGGTTCAGCCTCGGATACAGCCGTAGCTTCCTCCTGCGTCTCAGCTTGCTGCCGAGGCTCGTCAACAGTCTCCGGCACCTTTGGTTCTTCTTCGGTCATCTCGACTCGAGGCTCCTCCGTAAGCTGGGGGGTTTCTTCTGGCTTTCCCGAGTCCGCAGTCCCTTCAGCATCATTTAACTCAGTAACGGGTGTTTCGACTTGCTTCTCAGACTCGTCTGCCGGCTGAGGTGCTTCAACTGGGGATTCAGGAGTAGGAGCAACATCCTCGCTCAATTCAAGAGCCTTCTGCTTCTTCTTTTTCTTCTTCTTATCCTTTTTGGACTTCGGCGTCGTAGCTTCAGGCTCTGTATCCACCGGTGTTTCCGGCTCAGTGGGTGCTTGCTCTGAGGCGGGTTCAGATTCACCCTTCTCACCAGCCTCCGGAGTAGGAGGCTCTTGTACGGTCTCCGTCTCCACCTGGGCATCCGTCTTTGAGGACTCTTCGGCATTTTGTTCCACGGCTTCCACAGGCTGAGTCTCTTCTGACAGATCCGCCTCAGTCTGGGTTGGTTGTTCATTAAAATCCTCGGTTGTGACTCCTGGTTCTTCCGTCACAATATCTTGAGGAGGCTCAGCTGAGCTCTCTTCGATACCGGTAGATGTTTTCTGTTCTTCCTGCTCTTGCGGAACATCGGAAGAGACTTCGGTCCCCTCAGCAGGAGTAGGTTCAATCGGTTCAAAAGTTTCGGCACTTGTGGTGGCGGAATCGTCTGGACCTTTCTGAACAGGGTCGTCGTCAGGCTTTTCCTCGTTGGTCTCCTGTGAAGGCGCAGTAGGCTCGATAGCTGGTTCGCTAGACTCAAGAGCCTGGGCTTCCGGCTCCTCAGTGGCAAAGGAGACAGACTTGCGCTTCTTTTTCTTCTCCTTCTTAGCCTGTTTCTTCGAAAGTACAGGCTGAGGCTCTTCCACAGCTTCGGGTTGCTGCTGCTCCTCGCTTTCTACTGGGACAGGAGCATCCTGTGAGGTGGCTTCAGACGCAGGCTCTTCTTCGACCAGTGGTTCAGGCTCTTGCGGAGCCTCTTTGGCGATATCCTCGGGTGTAGCCTCTTCGGACTTGTCTGTGGATACGACACCAGCAACTTCTGTAGATTCGGAGACTTCGACTGGGTCCATGGGGGTCTCAGAAGGCTGAGCTTCAGTCGCCTCGTTGACAGGTGGCTCCTCCTCAAGGGCAAGAGATTGGCGCTTCTTCTTTTTCTTCTTGTCCTTCTTAGACTTTGCTGAAGGAGCGGGCTGTGCTTCCTCCTCAGCGGGGGCTGCTTCGGCTTCTGTCTTAGGAGATTCCTCGACTGGTAGCTCCGGCACATCCTTCGTGGCGGTTGGCTCGTGTGAGTCTTGAACTGTTTCGGAGTCTTGCTGAGTCGGGGCTTCCGGTTGTGCCTCAGAGCTCATTGTGGTCGGTTCATCAGAGACTGTTGGTTCCACTGTCTGGGGCTTCGGTTCATCCTCCGCAGGCTGGGAAACAGGCTCCGATTCTTGCTTGGCCTCAGCTTCTTCGATGACGATAGGGGTCTCATCCTGCCCCTTCTCCGCCTCCGCGTCTGCCGCAACTGGTTCTTCAGCTACAGGTTCCTCTGTTACTTCCTTAGAAACCGGCTGTTCTGTTTCCTCGGTCGGTGCGACTGTCGCTTCCTGCTCAATGGACTCCGCTTCCGTTACAGCCGCATCTTTCGCTTCTTCTAGAGCAGGCTCCGCAACAGGAGTTGCCTCCTCCGTTGGAGCAGGGTCACTTGTCTCGGGTTCAATGGGTGCTTCACTACTCTCAGGTGGAACCTCCTCAGCTGCTTGTTCGACAGTAGTCTCCTCGAGCAAAGCCGATTGTCGCTTCTTCTTCTTTTCTTTCTTTGCCTTCTTCTTCTGCGCCGCGGTCATCGGAACGGCAGGTTCGGCAGGCTCTTCAACATTGGCCGGCTCTGCGGGAGCTTCGCTTTCAGCCGGTTTTTTCTCCCCATGCTCTTCCTCGGCTTCAGGCTGTTGGTCAATGTTTGAAGGTTCAGCCTCTGGCTCGGTTTGAGGTTGAGATTCCGGCTCGACGGAGACATCATTCGTGGGCTCAGCGGCGGCATCCAGACTGCGAGATTCGGTCGACGCCATACTCTCATCTACCGGAGAAGAGACACTCCCCTTCTTCTTCTTCTTTTTACTCTTCTTGCCTGAAGATGGTGTTTCCCCCGCTTCGTGTTCAACCTGTTCAGACACATGTGGTGTGCCATCATTGGCCTCAGGTGACTCCACAGGCTGCTGGGTAGGCTCCTCGTCCGTTACGGCAGGGATAGTGTCAACGTCCTCGGCGGCTGCAGGGTCCTGTTGGGTTTCGTTGGTGGCTGGCTCCGGCGATGCCTGGGCGTCGATGTCAGCCGCGGGTTGCGGAAGCTCACCGCTTGTTTCGTCGTGCGGGGGCGTCGCGGTAGCGTCTTCGGCTGGTCCAGCTTCAGGCTGAGATTCGGGTTGATATTCAGGCTGCGGGTCCGACGTAGATTCCCCTTCAGGCTCAGCCAAGGAAGCGGCTGATTTGCGATTCTTCTTCTTCTTCTTTTTCTTCGTCGTTGGCTCTTCGACGAGTTCATCCGGGGTGACTTCCTTGGCCGGCTCTTGAATAGACTCCGCGGGTGCGTCGGGCACAATCTCTGGCTCTTCAGATCGAGAGGGATCAGTGGACTCTTCTTTGTTCTCCGAAGGATCTGGAATAGACTCCGCGGATGCTTCAGGCACAACCTCTTGCTCTTCAGATTGAGGGGGATTAGTGGACTCTTCTTTGTTCTCAGAAGGCTCCTCTGGCTTTGTCTTGAGATCAACCTCCCCTGTGCTGGTAGGCTCGACTTCGGTTGTTGGAGTAGCGTCATCCGAAGGGACAGATGGCGAGGCCTCCGTCGTTTCGCTTTCTGCCACCTCTGCCCCGGCCTTCTTCTTATTCTTCTTCTTCTTTTTGCTGCTCTTGCGAGACAGAGAAGTGTCAACTTCCGGGGAAGCTGTGGCCGGATCTTGCGTCTGCGCTGCAGAGTCAGGGGAGGGCTCAGTTTGATCGGACGTAGCTAGCAGCTCGGTGGACGCAGCTCCCTGGTCGGGTTCAGCCTCTAGGCCTTTATCAGAAGCCTCGATGCCTTGGACGGCCTCGACGTGGGGTTCCTGTACTGTGGCAGGAGACTGTTCGTCGTGAGGGATCTCGTCGTTCTTTGGCTCGGTAGAAGTAACTGCAGTCTCGGGTTGCTGCTCCACCAGGACTGTTGGAGTTTGCTCTTCTGTCCTTTCTTCCGCCACTGTAGGCTCAATCCCGCCAGATTCAACGGGAACTGCAACCGGCTCTTGAGCCTCTTGCGCCGCAGCGGGCTCAGCCGAAGCCTGTAAGCCATTATCGACTGCCGGAATCTCCCTAGTCATCGGTTCAGTCTCTGCCTGCTCAACAACCTCCTGAACAGAAGGAATTTCCTCTCCGGATTGACCCTCAAGCACGGGAGATTTGGACCGCTCTTCAGTCGGCGTAAGGAACTCGTCCATCGATTTGGGTGTATCTTCCACTCTCTGCTCCTCTGTGTTGTCGGGCTTTTCCTCAGGAGATGTTTCTAGAGGTGATACGCCTGCTTCTGCAAGTCCGGGCTCCATGGCCTCATCAGCTGCAGCCCCCTGGCTCTTCTTTTTCTTCTTCTTGTCGCGCTTAGCTTTCTTCGAAGAAACTATTGTATCGGCGGCGGTCTCTGCAACCTCTGGTTCAGGAATGGGTTGATCCATCTCTGTCACGTCCCTCGAGTCCTCCGTCTTTATGGCTTCCACGGGATCCACAGGCTCTGTGGGTGGCTGCTCTTCAACCTCCGTTGTAGGCTCAGGTGCAGGGAGTTGTTCGCTTGGCTGGTCTCCAGCAGCCGGCTCTGCTTCAGTGTTTGATGCTTCCTCCAAGGGAGTAGGAGCTTGTTCAACACTTGTGTCTACCGGTCCCACATCCTGTGTGACTGTCTCCGCGGCCTTGTTCTTCTTCTTATCCTTCTTCTTTTTCTTCTTGGAAGAAGTAGAAGTCTCTGCAGATTCTTCTGGTCGAGCCCTGATATCGTTGGTAGGTTCCGCAGGTTTTGTTTCCTCGGCAGCAGCATCAAACTCAACCTGTGGTTGCAGTTCACGGGTAGTTTCCTGCTCAATGGCCTCGCCAGTGGGCCCAGAATCTTCGGGCGACGCCAGAGGTGCATCAACAGGCGTCTGGAAAGCACTTTCATCTCCAGAGTCCGCAACAACAGCAGATGGTGCGTCGACAAACACAGCAGAGGCCGGAGACTCTGGCACTTCCCTATCTCCGGGCACAAACTCAGATGCAGGTGCATCCGAAATGTTCTTGTCCAGGGGCTCAGGGGTCGTCTCCACCTGAGGAACTCCCTGCTTTTCAACCTCCGCTCCGACGAGGCTGGCAAGACCGGCACCTGCAGCAGTAGCAGTGGCTACCTCCACGAGATCACGCTCCTTGGGACTCGCAGATCGGTGGATGGTAGGAGTGATTTTGGCCTGAGTGGGTGTCGTGTCGTCCACATCTTCCATGCTAATCATCTGGTTCTCTGGGGTGGACGGACGTGAGGACGGAAGGGGAGGGAGATCATGCAGGTCCAGGTCATCGCGGACGCCGACAGCAGAGCCCTCGGCAGAAGGCAATGCGCCTAAAGTCGGCGAAGGTGGTAACTCTGCGTATGTGCTTGGATCCTGGAGAAGCTCGGAGGGCGAGTGAAACTCGTACTTGAGCTGATCCTTTCTGCTTGGAGGATGATGGTGGGCAAACACTGCAGCCGTAGGGGTACCCTGCTGCGAATCCAGAATGTCATATTGGCTGTCATGACCTCTAGGAGAGGAGAGATCTAGATCTCGCGGGCCGTGAACATAGTGGCTAAGATCCACCTGTTCCCAGCTCTTCTCGTCTGGCAGAGCGGTGAGGTCTTCAACCGAGGCGTTCGCGGAGGATGTCTTGCTCGAGGGCAGAGACGGCAAGGGCTCGTCCTCCGGCGGCTCCATCTTGGTTACGCCATGGCGTTCCACGAGCCATAAGGGCCGGATCTCGCGGGAGTGCTTGAACTCTGTCGAGTTGGGCCGGCGGTGACGCGTCTGTGTCGGAGAGCCCGTCGACGGGGAGACGGGCGAGGTGGCTGAAGTTGTACCCGGCGAAGTAGGGGGCCGGCGGAAATGTAAAGGCACAGCAGTTGGGGACTCAGTCGAGCGCAAGATAGAGGAGCGCCGCGATCTTTGGCCAGCATCTTCTTCATCACCGTCTTGTTCTTGGCCCGGATCAGGTGATGCCACTCTACTTGAGGGCTCAATGGCCTCTCCTGAGACTGGGATCTGACGCTCCTCGTGGTCACCGTCGTCTACCGTCCTTGGCATTTCGCGGGCTTCTTCCAGGAGAGGCTGCTCATCGTGGTCTTGCGATATCTCCCGATCCTGTACGTAGAAAGAGAGAGAGAATTTTTAGTACATGAATGATCAACATAGCTCGTTCAATATGGGAATAAGGGCACATAAATCATGAGGTTTACAGGCGAATGGAAACAAGAGCAGCTAAACTATACCTTCTCGGCCTCGGCCCCTTTATCCGAATCCAGAATTCCTTCATGTCTCTGGCGTCGTCTTTCTTCCCGTCGCTGCCTGCTCGACTTGTAGCTTTCAACGTTAATGTTCTCCTTGTCCGCAGCTAGAGTGTCTTCGGGCGCAAATTCATCATCTAGCCGGTCTCCGTGACCAGAGCTACGCCGGCTAGAAGATCTCTCTTTCCGCCGACGTCTGGATTCTTCAGACGTCCGAGGGCCAATCTCTGACTGGACCTCACGGGACACCCGTCCATCATCAGAAGATGATTTCTTGCTTTCCACCGGCTCGGAGACCCGCGACCCAAACAAATTGCTAAGGAAACCGCCAGACTTCCTCTCCTTCTCTTCCCCTCTCTTACCTTTATCGCCAGCTTCCCCAATCCTAGCAGGCGAAGAGGTGACCGAGACCGAGTCATCCATTAAGTCGCCACTGTCCCGTTTGGATCGCCTCTTCCGGCGTTTCTTCTTCCCTTCAACGGCGGCTTCTTCGGCAGCCGGAGTTGACGCGTTGTCCATCATTTCGAAGTCATGGGTCCTTCTGGAGTCATCTTCAAAGTCACCAGGCATTGGGGCGGAAACGACAGATCGCGAATCATCCTTCACTTCTCCACGAGAGGTACCGGGCTCGAAGCCCCCGGGCATTGAGTAGTCCTGTTCAGGAGATGACTGAGGCAGGTTACGTTCGCCTGCCTCGGGCTCTTGCTTCTGGCTGAGTTGCGCGATTACCTCTTGCGCAATGGAAGGACGCGGCTGCGACTCATGCTCATTGTCCCTGGGGGACACGGCAACCGGCTCGGCGTATAGCGGCTCACTCTCGATGAATCTCTCCTGAGGTGTGTCGACCTCACCTTCGACAAAGCCACGTGGGCCGTCGCGGGGGGGAACGATCTCTGTCCATGAGTCGATCTTCTCTGATCCAGGCGGCGAGGACCGTGTGTGATAGACTGGGTCCTCGGTTATAATAGAAGGGTCAAAGCCTGCAGCGGCAGTTGCTGCAGCGACGGTTGCTGCAAATTCAATATCCGTACCAAAGGTCTTTTCAGCACTCTTCGATCGGGGAGACTCGGTGCTCCGGGGAATCTCCTCAATCGGAGAAGCGTTTTTTGGTGAGATTGGTTCGCGATCAAGCGAATCGTGATCAGATGATGTGGAGGGTACTTCATACTCATGGAGCTCGTGTTTGCCCCACGATACCCGGGAGCCAGTCGTCTCCCGTTCCCGTTCCTTGTCTTCTGGGATCACCTCGGGAGTGTGTGGGATCGGCGACGTTGCATCTCTGACCGAGCCACTTAAGCTCTGAGGAGGCGTGGGCTCGGTTATTTTCAGGGAAGGCACCGGCCAGGGGAGATTGGTGTAATCTGGATGCGGCTCCTCAGTGACAAACTGTGACCTTTCACTTGCAGGAACTGCTTCGATGATGGTAGGCATAGAAGTGGGTTCACGCTGAGCATAAGTGTCGGGGCTGTATCGCAGGCCCTCAGGAGCGAAGAATTCTGCGTAATTCTCGTACGTTGGCTTTGGTCTAGCGGGCTCTGGGTACGTAGAGCGCCGCGATGGTGACCGCTCTCGCTTCGTATATGAACGCTCTTCGATCTCATCAGACATGGGGAAGCTGCCAACGGATGAATCGTCTGTCATACGACGTCTCTCAGCCCGCCGCTTTTGACGGCGTTCATCATGGCGCCGTTGGCTCGACTCAGAGGCATCATCGTTAGATGTCCGGGAAAGAACGGCGGCTGCGGCTGCAGCCCCTATCGTGCCAGCGGCAGCTGCCCCAATCCAAGACGACGAATCCTTCTCTTTGCGGTCTCTATCATAGTTGTCATCGTAGTCGCGTTCCCGGCGTTGTCTTTCTTCGCGGTCGTCATAACGGCGCGATGCTCGTTCACCACCGCGCTCACTTTCGCGATCGATAAGCTGGACTCCGTCGTAGCGGTCCGAGTCGCGCTTCGATCTCTCCAAGCGAGCAGCACGTCGCTCTTTCTCTTCTTGCTCATGAGTCAAGTCAAACTGGACAGATGGTTGTTCTTTCAGGGTAGAGTGGCGCTTCAAGCTTGTTGAAGTCACACCGGCCAACGGTTCAGTATGGGGGATGGGTGAGGAATCGCTGCGCCGATGAGGGCGTGAAACATCTGATGGGCCTCCTGGAAAGGAGGTAATATTCCACTGAGGATCAGTTGTTGCACGTGGACCATACCCAGGCTGTCCATAAGCGTTATCGAATATCGGGGGGCCAGCGGGTGCAGTGTATGCATGGATGGATTCTCCCTGAGAGGTATACACTGCTTGGGAGACTGGTGTGACAGGCTGAGGCTGCTGGAGAGGGATAGCCCCCGGGCCAACGTAAGCAGGCTCCGGGGGAAGAGAGGCAATGTTGACTGTTTCGAAGCGGGATGGATCACTGGTCGGTATTGGGGCCACTTGCTGGAGGCTTCCTGTGCTACTGGTTCCAGCATCCCGGCTGTCCGCTCTGCTGTCACGATGTCGGCCAGAAGCTAGGGCTGCAGCTCCTAGAGCTCCAGCGCCCACGGCGGCAGCGGGAGGGAGGTAATCCTTCTTTTGGCCCTTCTTTCTGCCCTTTTTGCTCTTTTTGCTACCCCATCTCCACCCCCAGAGTGATGTACTGGAATCAGACGAGTGGGAAGAATCATCGCCACCAAATCTCCCGCTCTCTCCGAATGCCAGAGCTGAGCTAACACTTGAGGATGACTGGTCTGCAGAGTCTAGATCCTCCCAACCCTCGTCGTTGGTTGCGGAAGAGGCATAGTCGGACGGGCCAGATCTCGAATCTTTACCTGCTAAGATCTCGCCTCGTCGCCGACCTCGACGATGAGAGGTGGCAGCCAACGCAGTTGCGGCGGCGCCTAATCCCAACAACGCGGCGTCAACGTCCCCTCGGTCCTTCTTCTTACCTTTTTTGGACTTACCGGTAGGTTTCCTGGCATAAGCTGTTCCAAACGCCAAATCATTATCCACAGACGACGACGACGAGTTGTTGAAGGAGAAGATGCCTCTGCGCTTTTTTGATCGACGTTTCTTGCGATTGTCAGAGGACGCGGTGAAGAAAGAGCCGAAGCCTCCTGCGACAGACTTGCGGGCTGGTCTCGAAATATCGACAAAAGACGAATCTGAAGACGAGGATTTCCGGGACTTGCCTTTCCGTGGGGACCGGCTACGACTGCGATCGCGAGACTTGACGACAGACATGGCAGCCGTGCCAATGGCGGCCCCGAGCGCTGCATCCCGTAGAGTATGCTTGGAACGTGAGGACGAGCGTGAACGGGAGCGAGACCGTGTTCGATACTCGTCATTTCTGCTCATCTGCAAGTCGGGTTGGGAGTGATAGCTCTTACGATCTCGAGACCGACTCCGGCTTGATCGCCGATAGACACCACGCGATGTTCGACTTCTCCGCGTAGACACGCTTTCACTGTCATAGGAAGAGTTCACAACCTGGCCGGTCCGAACGCTGTAGCTATCGTCAAAGTCCTTGTTGTTAAAGAGCGACTTGACTGCATACCCCGTCAACAC